CAAACATAAGTGAATGGATTTAACAAGGGGTCACTATCCCGAATTAGTGACAGCACCAAGTGGTTAGGGATGATTTGGATCTACCGGCATGGATCCACGCTTCTCGAAGTGGATTGGCCAAGATAAAGTGGTACCCAGTATGGGCCGACGATGGAGCTGGTATAGATAACGTATGGGAGGGCAGGATCCACTAAGAGAAGACTCGGATCCACCCTCACCTGAGTTCACTTAGACGATATGGGATATACCATGTACGGGTGGATCAAGTGGGGATCCTAAGAAGGAAGGATGGTAGGTGTCATCTGAAGGTAGATCTGGTATCAACGACTAACGAAAAGGCAAGATCCACCACGACATGTTCCAGATCCCACACGGAGTGACTTGGATCCAGGATATGGGGATGTTGGATACGGTGGATCTCAAATTTCCGTGGAGACCCAGCCTGTCGTATGACAATGTTGGGAGATTGGAGAGCTCAGATCCATGACGGGTGTACACTTGCAGTGAGGTGGATTAAAGTGACCTGGATCCGGACAAGTGTACCCATAATGTGGCGACCACAATGATTACGCTATAGATCCGGTGGATCTAATGATATTACAGCTGGGATGATGAATCAAGGAGAAAAAGGACATGCCGCCGAGCCTGGTAGAGGGGGTAGCAGGTAAAAGACATAGAAGGTATGAATCCAGCCAGGTATAGACCTAATTATCAATACAGTCCTCAATTTGCACAGTATCACGCAAGTGCCTTCCTGCCCTCAAGAATCGGAGCTATATTGACCGTACGAGCTCCGTGAAGGTTCGGAATTGCGAATTTAGTGTTGGTAGTGATAACTGGATAATACATAGGCCAGATCCTACAACCTAGTGAGCTTTCCTTTACACGTGTAGATCCGAAAGGCTAACCGAATTTACTACGGCCTGGTATACCGAAGAAGCTCTCAACTCTCAAGATCCCGTCACAGGAGGCGGCAAATACGACGCAAAGAAAACGCAAAGACACAAAAGCACACCCGCAAGGCAACCCTAAGGCCAGATCCCAGATCTAGGCTCTGGACCCACCAAGCTCGAATACCGCTTAGGATCCAGAAACAACCACGGACGCAGAGAGAAGGTTTTACCACTGCTACTCCACCCCATCCCCACGTCACGCCAAGACACTTAAGCTTCACCACTTGAACCCTTCGGAAGTTACCGAGAGAGCAAGATCCCGCCCTACCGACGGGTTCACAAGGTGAGGAAAGTTCAGATCATAGGAAGACATCTTCCGTTAGTCGGTGTCTGGGCGCTGTTGGTAAGTTGGATCCAGCAATCTCGCAGCTTTTGCTGATCCCGTTACACCCCAATAGTGCGCGTGCCCGGATCTTTTGGTGACTCGGGATTTCACCGTGAGTCCCAAGAAGATGCTGAAGTGAAGATTGAGCCAGGGGAAGAGGCCTCGTCGGAGGTCGGATCGACGAAGACACTACTGAATGAAACAAGATCCGCGGATCGATAGAGTCCTGGGAGGAACTCTGTCGACGAAAGAGAGGTGGATCCGGATCTAGAAGAGAAACCTCTCTATCCTCCCAAGGTCCCCTCGGGGACCCCTGCGGATCTTGACGCAAGTCAAGATCCGCTAACAAAACAATGGAAAGTGAAGGCGAAACGATATGCATTTGCAAATTCACCGGTTAAGCCAACACCATACTTAACGTCAAGCCCGCTGGTCGAAAAGATGAGAAAAAAGACCGATACGGGGGGGGGGTCCCTGTGGTGTAGTGATTTCTCCGTAGTTGTGAATTATCACCCGTCGACAAAGACATAACACCGCCTAAGATGTTCAAGCGACGAGCCCTCGGTCATGTGATGTACGGAGACGTCCAGGTACAAGGGACTCGACGGCGTCATTTCCGAACTCTCAACGGATATTGGATACAGTCCATATGTCACTGAATCCAGACTGTCCTTATTATTAATAATGGGACTGGCCGGATTCGCATTCAGCGGACCATGTACGGTACGAACCCTCGGTGCAGTTGGGATGAGCTCGCGGATAACTCAGCGACCCTCAGAAGACACGTTCACCGTCTAGGACAGGGCGCGGGCCGTTAAAGATACTCATGCGACGGTGCAGACGACGCTTTTGGCGTGCAAGAAGATCCATAACCGATCATTGCTCACTTGATATTTCTATACTTGATTAGGACTTCTTATTAGGAATAGACCCGAAAGGGTAAACATAAATACAGAACAAAGTTCCACTCAAGCACACAGAGCGACGTCCGGCTTCAAGGTAAGCGTCAGGTCAAGCTTGTTTGAGTGTGTCATGCCTGTCGGTGAACTCAAAGCTCTGTAGCGAGGGTTCACCCGGCAAGGCCAAGAGACTTTGTGTATTGGCCGATTACTATCGGGAGGTATTACGTGACGGCTTATTGTTGCCTATTTGCACGACTGGGAGTGCTTGTATTGCATCCCTTTTATTCTTCCAACCGAGTGTTGAACACTCGGTGATCTCGTAAAAGGCTTACCCGTGCCTGGTACCCTTCCGCCGTTGGGACCACGAGGTTTCAAAACACCTACTAGCTTTGCTCGTGCTAGTAGGGAGTTCTTATTTTTACTGGTTGACCTATATAAGTAGTTTACAAGGTCCAGTTTGTCCCGGGGCAAGGGCAGAACTGGGTCTTCAGGTCCGCCCGAACGATCGTTTACTATACTAGTAGACGTATTGTTGTGGGAACGTCCTAACTACATTTGTCGCTAGAGTTCACGTGGGAA